CAGAACAGATTCAAAATTATTTTCTGAACTGATTTCTGGTGGATCACTGAGTTTCCCATGTGCTAGACTGCCTTCAGTTTTGTTCACTGAGGTTCTCAAAACATTAGAGGACAATCTGTTGTATGAGATGTGTATGGTCAAAGCTATTAAGAACCAAAACCAGACAATTCCAAGACTTTTTCAGTAAAAGTGAAATGGTAATTAATTCATTTATTTTAACAATCATTCATTAGTCTTTTACTAAATACATTTCCTAATAACATTCTCAATCTTGCACGTTACTGTCATGTCTTCAATTTCCCTTTTCATGATAAGGCTAAAAACAAGCTGAATTTACAGCTTAATAAATCTGCAGCACAGTACAACATACACTGCATTCAGTTTTTCCATATAAATTCCTCAATTACAAGCAACTGCAACAACAACAAAAAAATTACATATCATTCTACCTAGTATTATATTTTGGCAGATCATAATTAAGTTGTTGCTTAGAAGTGGTGTGTAGTGCTTTAAAACAAGCCTTATTTTGAATAGCAGGGCTAGTATTTTAACTCAATTAATGTGTTATTGTTCTATAAAGAGATATACACTACTCTGATTTGTTCTTCTACAGATAACATCAGCTATAAAATGGAAAAAGTGCAGCTTTTTTTCCAATCACTTGTATAATTTTCCCCATGTAGATTGTATGTTTTCTATATTTTTAGAAGTGGATGAAAACATATGACATCTTATTAATTTTAAAAATCATTATAGTTATTTTATACTGTTATAGGCATAAAATATTTTGTTTCTATACCACATAAATCTGCCAGAGACTATGTTTGACATAGTCTAAAAATACAAGAGAGTTCAACAGTAAGGAACACATTTTTCTTTTATGTGTTTTAATTCCATACAGCCGTGTTTGATTTACACGTAATATTGGTCGGGGCAGAAGTAGAATTCCTAATAAAAAGAAATTACATCTAGTTACAATAGAAATAGGATACCTTCTCCATGGAAACTGCCTGCCAAATATGCTCAGATCAATTATTTATCAGATGCTTCATAAAATATTTCAATTTTATGGAATTATATTTTCCTAGAGTTTTTCACTCAAAATTTAAAAGTGACATAAATGTATAAATGTCCATACTTCTGAAGATAATCATTTCACTCGATTACCAAATTTTTAATACTTTTCAAGGTCATCTTCTCTTTGTTCACACCATCCATACTACGCTACTTAGAATCATTTAGGTTAGAAAAGACCTCTAAGATCATCAAGGCCAAAAGTTAACCTAGTGCTGCTAAGTCTACCACTAAACTGCATCCCTAAACACCACATCTATACGTCTTTTGGATACCTCCAGGGATGGTGTCTCATCTACTTCCCTGGACAGCCTGTTCCAACACCTCACAACCCTTTCAGTGATTTTTTTTTTTCCCCTAATATCCAACCAAAACATATCCTGGTGCAAATCAGGGCCATTTCCTCTTGTCCTGTTGTTTGTTGCTGGGAGAAGAGACCAACCCCCACCTTGCTACAACCTCCTTTGAGGCAGTTGTAGAGCAAGATCAGGTCTCCCCTGAGCCTCCTTTTCCCTAGGCTAAACAACCTCAGCTCCCTCAACCACTCCTCACAAGAGGAGTTCTCTAGACACTTCACCTGCTTTGTTGCCCTTCTTTAGGCATCCTCCAGCACCTCGATGTCTGTGTTGTAGCAAGTACAACACAGTATTCAAGGTGTAGCCTCAGCAGAGCCAAATACAGGGGAACAATCACTTCCCTGGTTCTGCTGGCCATGCTATTTCTGATACAAACCAGAATGCTGTTGGCCTTCTTGGCCACCTGAGCACACTGCTAGCTCATATTTAGCCAGCTATCGACCAATACCCCCAGGTCACTTTACTCCAGACAGCTTTCCAGCCACTCTTCCCACAGTCTGTAGCGTTGCATGACATTGTTGTGCCCCAAGTGTAGGAGCCAGCACTTCACCTTGTTGAACCTCATGCACTTCGCCTCAGCCTATCGATCCAGCCTATCCAGATCCCCCAGCAGAACCCTCCTACCATCAAGCAGATCAACCTTCTTGCCCAACTTGGTGTCATCTGCAAATTTAGTGAGGGTGCACTTACTCCTCTCATCCAGATCATTGATAAAGATAGTGAAGAGAAGTGGCCCCGGTACTGAGCCCCTCTTGTAACTGGCTTCCAAGTGGATTTAACTACATTCACCACAACTTTTTGGGCCTGACTGCCCAGCCAGTTCCTCACCCAGAAGAGCATAAACCTGTCTAAGCAACGAGCACTCAGTTTCTCCAGAAGAATGCTGTGGGAAATAGCAAGATTAAGAGGAAGAGGAGGGCACACCCTGCAACCTGATGCCTGTGTAGCAGCACATTCCCCCTGGAGCTCTGTCTGAGCTGCTGCAGCAGTTGTGGTGGGTGCAGAGCTGCAAGGCCATGGCCTTCTGCTGAGTGGATACCATTGCTCCCTGGTTGAGCTGGCCAAGCTTGTGCACTCCCTGTGTTCTCCCACATGAATCGCCCTGCAAACTGCCACGCTACTCAGTATTATGATTCAGTATTATGTTACTTATGTTCTTTTGAATAATATCCCATTTTTGGTTTATTTCCTAGTATTTCAATGTGTTTAAGAGACTGTTTGAGAATATTTTCTTGTTACTGCTCTTTCAAACTCCTGCATTTATACCATAGATGAAGCCTATTGTGGACAGGTTTGCTAACTCCTTCATATAGATTGGAAGTCTGAGTAGTTAAGGAACAAACTTGAAAAATAATTTTTTCTTTTAAGAATTAGTATGTGGTTTTATTAGCAGAACTGGGATACTGCTGTAAAAATCAAGAATCATTTCTCATTTAGGGCTACTAGAATTACATGCCCGCACCATTTTACAGCATTTTCCAATATCATTGCTATTATGCATGTCACTCACTTAAAAACAAACAAACAAACAAAACAAAACAAAACAAAACAAAAACAAAAAACTACTCAAGGCAGCAAAGAGTTTTAAATAATCATCAGCTGGGTGATTTATTTCTAACCAAATAATATTTTGGTTCAGCTTTGCAACAATGTCTGCTACTAGTGGGATATTCTACCTCAAAAGTGCTGAAAAAACAGGGAGCTAAATTGCAGCACATATTTACTATATATGCACAGCACATAATACCCAACTGTTAGAATTTTTAAAAAAGGTTGTTTTGATTTCATAAGGAAGGCAACACAAAAAGAGAAGGGACAGAATTATACTGTTACAGTCAGATAGGGAGACAGAAATTATATGGTACTAAGGAAGAAGTGAGAGTAATGTAATGAATAATAAGAAGAAATAAAATCAATATGAGTTACTTCAGAAGGTGTTAGTAACGGGGTCATATTAAATACCTTGCATTCCTTTTGTGGAAATCAACTGGTGAATGCATTTAAACACAAAGTACTATAACGTACAATATACCACCATGCAGAAAATCATAGTAGGGTCATGCAAAAGTGTAATGGAATTTCTAAGTTAAAAAAATAAATGTTTATCCTTACCTTTATGGTAAAAAAGAATGGTTTTGAGCAAAACATATAAGTAACAGAGCATGCTTCCAATGCTTAAGTGCAACTGATGCATCATGTAATATAATCCTTAGTATTTATTTGCATTTTTAATGCAGTTACAAATCCTGCTCAGTGGACAAGAACTTCTAAATCCACTCTCCTGACATCACATAAGCAGGAAGTGATAGAGAATTAATTATTTCTGTTCTGTGTTCAGAAAAACAGAAGGACATTAAGAAGCATAATGGCGTAAAGCTCCATGTGAAACAAACTGGAAGGTATGGGTCTCAACATCCAAAAAAAAAAAATGCTATTTTGGAGGACTAATGGACAACTATCATGGCTAAACCCTTAATAAAAACCCTTAATAAACCTTCTCAGACAAGACTGCAGTTGGCTGACCTTATATACAGATGATCTAGAAATGAGCAGTAAAAAAACAAACAAACAAACAAAAACCACTTGCTAAGGCCTTATTTAAATATCTCAGTCAATTAAATGGTATTTTACCATAGGACAAAGTTACAAGGGAAATTCTGATTATATCTTAGGGAAAAAAACTGCAACAACATAGCTAAATATTGGCCTGGATGTCCCCAAGAGAAGTTCCTTTAAAGCCCTCCCAGTAAGATACTGAAAACTTAAGTGGACAAGGAAGGCCCTGAACAACCTGTTCTAAATTGGCCTTTCTTTGAGCAAAGGAGCTAAACCTCCAGAGAGTCCTCTGAACCTAAATTATTCTACAATTCTATGAACTATATAGATAAAAGCAACAACAACAACAAAAATAATTCTTGTAGATCTCAAAGAACAAGCATGCTCTAGTGTACTGACACCAAGATGAAAGCTTTTCATAAATTTATCTGAGTCATAGTTCCATAGCTGGAAACTGTCAAAAAAAAATCAAAGCAACACCAGCAGTCTATAGGAGAGGCAGAAGAATATAGCAGGACAGGAAAAGCACTCTTAAAATTGTTATAATGGACAAAGAAATCTGACTTCATCCATCATTTACAAACTCAAGAGTGGAATCTTTAATTTTAATACTCCTAGTTAGGTCTCTTTCCTTTTTCGTCTCTCCTCTGAATAAATTGCATGGGACTTCATAATATTTGAGAAACGTGTAAAAAAAAAAAAAAAATAGGAGGGGAAGACAATACAATTTACTTTGACCTAAAGTAGTCCATCTCCCTTGCCCCCTTTTTAGTGAAAGCTCAAAATCAGCTTTTTTCTCTGCACACCAAGATGGCAGTGTCCGTTAAACTCTGCTATGGTATAAACTTGCTGACCTTAGCCATGTTGGGGCAGGACTATTTACATTTCTGAATCAATTCCATAAATTCAAGACATATTAAAAGACATCAAGTTCATAAACTTTTCTGACCCTCTTCTGCTATCTGGCTCATTAATACTGAAAGCTATTAATTTATCAAATGAGTTGGTGATTACCTCCTGAAGAACCCTCTTCATTTTCAGTAGCAATGTCTTTACAGCTGTGCAATCTTGAAGCATCAGTCTGAAGGGCAAAGATTCAATGCCTCCGCCTTCTTCCAGACCAGTAAAAGGCCACTCCACGGATGGGCTACCAGCCAGCTGGCTAACACGTGGGTACCTGGCTTCTCCTTGGTCTACCTCCTTTGACAGCTTCAGAGATAGGTTCCTTACAAGAGAAAACAGAGAGATCAACACTGAAATGTGAATGGTGAAAAAGAAAATACTACAGTTTTCAGCTTTTCCTTCATTTGAGAATAAAGACATCACTTTTTGAGCCTGCTAGCATGAATGGCTTTTTTAATATACATATGGCCATATGGTGTTAGCAATAAAATATGCATTTAGAAATCTACCATTTTCTCCAGGAATTGAAATCATGCTCTATTCTATGCCCTTCAGAAGAAAGGCATTTTCTTGAAACAAAATATCCTATGGGCAAGACCATGGCTCTATTATATTTCAGTTCTCCTTTACAAAAAAAGTAATCACATAATCTGTATGCACTTTGAAAAGCTAAATCACATTCTTTCATACCAAAAAAAGACAAAAAAAAAAAAAAATACTCCTTTCTAGGCTGCCCAGTGGTATAAGATGAACACGTTATTATGTAAACTGGAATTTGAAACATAATTATTCTGTACACACTCTGACATTTAGTTACCATTGAAGCTAATTAAACTGAACATGACAAAAAATAATGTTAATTGTGGTTGAGAATCCATTCAAGACAACAGAAAGACTCTGAAAGATTTAGAGGTAAAGGAATAATAGTATTTTGCTTTTTGCACCTGAAATCCTGTTCTGCATACATACAATCATCCTTTAATATCTGTAAGAATTTCCTATGCTGGAGCAAGTCTAGCAGAGACCAACAAGATGCTGAGAGAACTGGAGCATACAACATATGAGTAGAGGCTGTTCAGTCTTCCAAAGAGGGTCACAGACTCAATCAGCCCAAATCAGTCACAATTAGCTATAAGTTTAACAGCACAGTAGCAAAATAATTTTAAAAGAGATTACTTGGCATTTTGATGGAATATAATGTTCCATCCACTAAGGGAAAATCATTCAAGTTTTTTTTTTGTTTGTTTTTTTGTTTTTTTTTTTGGCATTAAATCAACCACAGTTATAACATTGCACCAATTTTACTTTTAACCAGTAGGAAAAGGACAAACCTGAAAGGAAAATAAATCTGAGAATATGGCTGCATTGTACAATAATGTTATATTAATTACTACTAAATTACAAAAGGGTTGTAATAGCAGTGCGTGACACCTATATTCATACTAAATTAATTCACTATAATTAAAAATTTTAGCATATGTGGTAAAGAAAAAGACAGCTATTATTAATTTAATGTATAGTTCCAATTTTCTGTTCCATTTGAATTTTCATGTAACACAGAACTGATTCTGAATTTTAAGTACTTGCATATTTTTAAAGAACTAAGATATTTTTCCAAGTGTGATTTTCTTTAACGTTTACTACAGGTTTCATTATAACCATGTGCAAAAAGAGATTAACACGATTTCTCAGAACAAAGAATTCCCAAAGCCATACAACAAATGTGAAATGATGCTACTAGAGCTATCTTTTAATGGATGGTTTATTTTTTTATTTTGCAAGCTATGTAATGTGCAGTAGGGACAATGTGTTAGATCCAAAAATACACGAGAAATCATGGATATGGACAGGCGGTCGTGATGGCCAATAGAAATAAAATTTTCAAATCTAGGCTTTTCAAGACTAATAAAAGAATTAAATTACACTATTTTAATTTTAAAAATACATTGAAACAACTTTTAGTATAATATTTTGCCTTTTAAAGTAACAGTCTGAAGTAGACAGTAAAGACACATTTGATTGGAGGATATTAAGCCATTACTGATTCATAGCTTTTATTAAAGAAGGCAAGGGTATAAATTATGCAAACAAAAATCAACTCTTAACCAAAGTTTCACAACATAAGGCACCTTTAAAGGTTCATAAAAGAGAAGCCATGTCCAATCTATTGGAAGCTATGCTAGAGTAAGATTTATGTAGCCAGAAAATCTCATTATTTAATTTGAGCAAAACAAAACAACAAGGTCCTCTTTTTCCCTTTTTTTTGGTTTCCTGGTCCAGGGCTCACTGTCTGGGAGACTAAATATTGCTTATAATATTCTGCATCTTCACTTTGTGAGTCCCACAACAGTTTTGGCATCATGCTCCTGAAGGGGCATCTTATGTGGATAACATGGTGACACTGAGAAAGGACCAACTGAGAGGTAAAGCCTCCCAGAAGGAGTCTTCTACAGCTACATAATGTCATCAGGGAAGAGAAAAGAGTCTGGCATCAACAGCAATACCCAGCTCCCTCTGTGACTAGATAAACCAACAGTACTCTTAGAGAACTATCATCCTCTGCTATGTGGAAAAGATATAGTATCAATCTTAATTTCAACTTCACTGAATTGTATGTTGACATCAAAGCGCTCAACACACAAAATCACTGTCTCTTCAAATACAGAACATTGTACTAAAGTATGAAAAGCACCATAGTAACACATTACCACTCACAACAATAAGAATTTAAAATCTAACTCAGTTGCTACTGGAAAATTGCTACTCAGAGTCAGCATACAGTAAGTGCTCGCATTGCATGGTAACTCTGAACTCTACCTGAAGAGAATATAACTGATCTTTGACAGAAAAATTCTTCACAGTCTGATATAATCCCTATACTTGCTGCAGGAAAAAGCTAATTTTCAATTCATTCTATAACTGATACTTCATCAAGTCCATTATTAACAATGTCCAGGTGGTCTATTACAGTATTATTATGGTAATCCACTGCAATTCATCTCAAAGCAGCAGCAGAGATTTAGCAAGAAAAAGAAGTTCTTACTAAAAATAGAAGTTTCCCCTTACCAGTAAAACACCTATGCCTCTGAAGTTGAAAAAGTGACTAGATCCTTGACCAGCAGTGGAAAAACCATTTACAGATTGTCAATCCCCTCTGCCTTCCAAAAAGGTGTTTAAAACATCTCAGGTAAATGTTATCTGTTACAAACTTCTAGACCGTGGATGAAAATCCTTAGAAGCTCATTTTTTATGATTGAAGACAATGCATTTCATTTAAATGACAGTATTGTTTCTATAAAATTTTTTAAATAAAACATTTCACAAAAGCTAATTTTGTCATTATTGAATACAGTGCCTCTGTCTGAGCTCTAAGTTTGCCTGTCATACACATTTAGGTTATGCCTTTCCTAGTTAATGAAACTGTACCAGAAAACGTTCCTAGGCACTGAAAGTCAACAGTTCTGTCACTGTTAAAACACTTCTGAAATGGCTTGACTCAAGCCAAATATCACTCTTTCAAATGACTCCCTGCCATGGTTTGGTTGCCAGTAAAGTTACTTTGGAAGGAGGCACTCCATTCTGAAGGATGTTAGTGGTACAAATGTGTACTGAAGAATATGTAGATTATGCATGTAGATCTTCATTCACAGATTCATTGCACATCTGTCTTGAAACCCAGATAGACTTCTGGTCAAGAGAAGAGGCAGCCTTCTTCAGAGAAGTCTGATATAAACTGTGGAGGGAGTGGCAAATCACAACTGAGAAGAGTGGTAGGAAGCTGCTCTTAATTTCCTTCCGGGTGTTTTAGACTTCACTTCCCCTAACAAGTGCTAACAAATGATTCTCATACTCTGATAATGGTCAGATGAAGCCTGAAAGATGTCATACTAAAACTTTGCCCAGTCCTTTAGATCAATGTCATAGGATAATAGGGTAATTCAAATTGCACAAGCAGGGTATACCTGAAGCCTGTGGAATACAGCAGCATGTTATATCTAAGGGAACCACAACTGATAACTGAGAAAAGTAAGCTTAGTGTCAGTAGAATAAATGTCATTATAAGGTCTGAAAAGTCAGAAAAAATTGTTATAATTTTGTAAATATAAAAAAGGGCGAAAACCTGTGCAACTAGGTAGCATTTGGGGCCTATTGGCTTGTTTCTATTTTATCTGGACACACCCACTGAATACCATGAATATATTTTTTTTCATTTTGAATACATAAAAAATCAGAAGCTACAATATCCACATTTAGCAAAATGGCAATGTCACTAAGACAAAGCAGTTCTATTTGAAAAGCGATCTTTATTGAAATAGTGAGAGAGCACTAAAATAATCAATCAGTGATTCTTAGCATTTAAATAGCCTCCATAAATCCAGTGTAACTGCACATTAACTGAGAAAGAGGTAATATTGTGCAGCCCTTTTCAAAACTTCTTTCCCTTACGAAGGTAAAACAAGAAATTTCTTACTCCAAAGCATCTTTAAAGGGTTTTTACTGTAAAAGGAAAAGACACACAGATTTGCAACTTGAGCTAGTTTGAGTTATTTTTCCCTTCTTACTGGTCCACAAATCAATGATTTGAAGAGCTTATGGTAATTTGAACTTCACTTACATAAAGATCCCCAGATTATGTGGAATTTAATCTTCTTAGTTTTCATCAGCAGTGCCCAAGATGTTGCTACTGCAGAATTAGCCTAAACTAATACAATTGGTCCCACAGAGTCTGCACTTCTTGATACCAGCTTAACAGAAGAGAGTACATGTAACTCTGTGGGTATCAGGAAGGCTCTACAAGCCAAGCAAAAAAACTCAGCCTCTACTGGAAGTACTGAACATACCTTCTCTCCTCCCTGAGAGCATATCTTCTAAAGTAGCTACTTAGAGAAAGCCTTAAATAATTTATTTTTCAGTTTCGAATGTGCAACAGCAAATATTCATGTATATATACATACGATGTACTTACATAAGGTGTATAGTTATAAAATTTATACTTCATTCATGAAGATTGTATGAAGTGTGACGAATATTTCAGAAAAACACAAAAACACCTACCTCACTTATTTGTTCATAATTTGGCCCACCAGGAAACATTTATTCTTTTATACCAGAAAGTTGCTATCAGTTTGATACATAGATTACATCAGAAATGATCCTTTTTTTTTTTTCTTCATACAGATACGGATAGTCTTCCAACCACACTTTTTCTCCTATCCATTCTTTTTTCTCACCAACGATAAATAAGGTATCCTCTTTTAGAAAAATAAAGGTCCCTTAGCTGAATCACGTAAGACAAATAAGAACAATTATATTTGACTTTTA